CTCCAAAGTCCACAACAACAGTTGGCAGCAACAGTTGGCACCACCAGTCTCTCTCCTCCTGGTGCTTCTTCTCTAGGATTCTTCTTCAGGTTTCAGGATTCAAAAACCACCCCCCTCCCTTACTCTTTATTATTAAAATCCGAGGCTAGAAACCCCAACCAACTCCCTTACTTCACACTCTCGCCTGCCTCCGCCTCAGGCATCCTCCCACGGAGGAAGCAATAAAACTTCACTCTATCTAGCCCCTATTTAAAATACCCTTGATAGAAAAATAAAGTAAGCTTCCAGACCTTCCCTTCTCAACTCCAACCAACCCCGGCCTTCTCATTTTCTTCCCTTTTCTATCCTTCCTCCTTCCACTCACGCCAGCCACACCCAAGCCAACTGCAGCTGTCCCAATCTTCCCCTTCCCAGTCAAGCTCCTGCAAGCACTCTCGGGCAGTCCCGCTACAGATGACAACTGATAAAAATAATGATACAATATTCTGCCTTTGATCATTGGATTTCTGGAGCCCTAAGAGAGTTGGTAGAACTGATTAGTTGGTATAGCAAACCTAGGGAAGAGCCCTCAGTAATGGCAGGACTTGATTGGGCCAATGTTATACCTTGATGATAAAGAGAGGTTATAGAGTAAGTGGTCACAGAGAAGGAAGCTGGTATTATATATAGACTTCTCATTTTCTATTCATAAATACAGCCATTTAGGCTGTTACCTCTTTGTATCAACTTGTCACCATTTCACTTACTGATGAAACTTAAACTTTGTTCATACAGAATTTTAAAAGGAGATTTGACTCAAGAGTCAATTCCTGACTGATTTGCTTTGCTTGCGCTGGACACCCAGTGGTGTTTCCAGAACCAGCACAGAAATGTAATAATGCATTAGCATATCAAGAGTATAAAATTAAGCTTGTAACTAGGTGCTCAGGAAACTGGGAGGTGACAAAATGAATGAAGTCCAAACAATGTTAATATTTCCATCTCAGAGCAGGTCTAAGGGGGAGAAAGTTTAAGGAAATGACCGATGAAGTGGGCCACTTAATATAACAGCACTGATTACACCATTCAGCCTCTCATTGGGCAACTTTGCAAATTGTTTTAACAACCCTAGAAGCAGCAGAAAATATATCAAATCTGCAAAATGAATGCAGATGTGAATTGGGTTAACTGAATGCTTTTGATTAAAGCTTTGGCCAATCAGAGCAAGGGGTAAAAGCAGAAGTAACTGCACAGAGTTTCAAGTGGTATGTCCATTTGTGTAGAAAGACAGCTCTGAATAGATGGGATAGCTAAAACAGGATTTAAGGGGGGGAAAGTTCAGTAAAAGTGAGATAGCGGAAGTTATAGTTTTATTCTTCTGAACCTGAATTCACATAGTGTTCTGTACTGATGAGGCTGGTTCTACCAGACATATCCACAGCAAGCCAAGAATTTGTCAAAATAGTGATATGTGTGCCTTGATGTCATGATGCAAACTTCACCCATTATGTACTTGCAAAGAGAGTTTGTGTTGCAATATCATACCACACATTTTGTCATTTGTTCGTTATAGGCCCGTGGTGGCGAACGCGTGCCACAGATGGCACGCAGAACCCTCTCTGTGGGCACGTGCGCTGTTGCCCGAGTCCTAGGCTTTCAGCTGGGTTTTATAAAACCTTTTCACTTTAGGCCAGTGGTTCTCAACCTTCCTAATGCCGCAACCCTTTAATACAGTTCCTCATGTTGTGGTGACCCCCAACCATAAAATTATTTTCATTGCTACTTCATAACTGTAATTTTGCTACTGTTATGAATAGTAAATATCTGATATGCAGGATGTATTTTCACTGTTACAAATGGAAAAAAGTGATAAAGTACAGGTAGTCCTTGACTTACAACAGTTTGCTTAGTGACTGTTCAAAGTTACAAGGGCACTGAAAAAAGTGACTTATGACAATTTTTCACACTTATGACCGTTGCAGCATCCCCAGGGTCATGTGATTTACATTTCGATGCTTGGCAACTGATTCATATTTATTATGGTCACATTGTTCCAGGGTCATGGGATCGCCTTTTGCAACCTTCTGACAAGCAATGTTAATGGGGGAAACCAGATTCACTTAACAACCATGTTACTAATTTAATCTCTCTCTCTCTGTGTCTCCTTCTTTCTTTCTCTCTCTCCCTCTCTCCCCATTTCTCTCTCCCTCTCCCTTTCTCTCTCCCTCTTTTTCTCCCTTTTTCTCTCCCTCTATCTCTCTCCCTCCCTCTCTCCCTATTTCTCTTTCCCTCTCCCTTTCCTTCTCCCTTTCTTTCCTTTTCTTTCTCTCTCTCCCCCTCTCCTTCTCTTTCTGTCTGTCTCCTTCTTTCTCTCTCTCCCTGTCACTCTCCCTTTCTCTCTCTCCCTCTCTTTCTCTCTCTCCCTCTCTCTATTTCCCTCTCCCTCTCTTCCTCTCAAAGATCCTTAAAATCCTTAAAAGTTATGCTTGGGTGGAAGACTTTTTCTTTTACAGATGGGGTGGGTTGGCAGACAAGTACTCAAAAAAAAAGGGAAAAAAAGTGCGAATAGGCGTCCAGTAGCTAGCTTGAAGTTTGAACGACTTCTTTCTCTTGCCACCGGCTTCTAGGAGGAGCAAAAGACATCCAGCACTGCAACCAGGCACCCTGGACTGGCCATTCCAGGGCTTCCTGCACCGGCTGACTTAGTTGTCTGCAACCTCCTGTTGTCGCTTGAGGGGGGGAAGGGACACGGGCAGGAGAGATTCCTTCTTT